ACCAAACTCCGGGAGGCAGTGGAAGAAAGGAGGGCCTGGCGTGCTCTGGTCCATGGGGTCACGAAGAGTCGGACACAACTGAACGACTAAACAACTATAAGCTGTCAGAAATGTCTTACCCAGGATACCACTTTGCATGCTGCTCCCAAGGGTCTTCAAACGCCTTCCATTCTCCCAGTCCACCCCCACAGTGAAAGCATATGACACTGTCACCATTTCCTGTGGAAAAAAGGAACAAGAACTTGTATAAAGAAGTTAAAACACATAATCTGTCTGCATATCTTCTGTATAACTAATAACGTTCTAGTTCAGTTTGACATTTACTTTTGTGCTGTGAAATATTAATTGCAAACCAACTACTAAAGGCAGCATTTTTTCACTCCATTTCAATGCTCAGGATAGTTTAAGAAGTTAAGATTATTCCTAACCACTTTAAAACAAATTCTCCAAGCAGCTTACATTGATGTAATACATCACACAACCAGAAATTTATGTCTGATAAAAAAAAAAAAAACCTCACTAGCAGAAGAGCACGAGAATCCAAAGGAGCAGCTAAAATCAGTTCAGTGCTTATGCAATAAAATGATTTCACTCTTGGGATAAAAAAAAAAACTTATGAAGTGAGGTGTAATGACAGCAGCTAGAGAGAACATTTCAGAAATAGGGCAAATATTGCTCTCATTAAATTTGCTTTTTCCAAACTTTCTTGTCTTTGAAGGTTCTTTTCCTTATCATATTGGCAAAAAACTGCATGTGCTGCAGAGCTTTTAGGATACAATTTAACATTGTAAATTCAGCTTACATGCGGTACTAATGATTACTGTACGTTCTCTAGACAAGTGGTTTCCAACCTCTGATCTTCCAGGTGTTTTAGACTTCAAATCCTCAAAGGTCCAAACAACATGACCTCTGCCACTCTGGGAGGTGAAGTCCAAAACATCTGATGGAATAAAGGCTGTGAACTACTGCTGCAGAGTACACAGAACACTCTGTTATGCCTTGTTGTGCACTGCAGAGATGGACATGCTATGTTTCAAAGCAAACTTATCTGTCATTACTTACCTTTTCAATTGATAAGCTACTGAAATGAACACTATAGCCTTAGACAACATATTGTTACACAAAGTACTGTGCTTATGTGCACATAATATGTCAAAATCAGAACTGAGTTTGCATAATCAGTCCCTTGGTATTGTTATCAACACCATTTCTGAATCCTAAGATACTATTTTTGAAATCATATGGGTTTACCGGTATTTTGTAGTTTGAATATTGTCCCCCTACCTGGCAATCACTCAATCAAAAAGCAGGTTACAATTTCCCACAAGTAAATAATCAAATGCAATTTTTGACAAAATAAGCAAGGGTTCTTTGTCGGTTGTTAGCTCTACTGAAGAGGCCTGAAAGAACTATAATTTAAAATGCCAGTTGCATGTTAAGTATCCTTGGTCTACAATTGGAAACTGCTTCAAAAAAGCTGTTTAGGTAGTACATTAACTCCACTCAATGGGAGAATCAATTTGTTTCAAGCAGTGGAAATCTTCAAGTCATGCAAAGATGATTGCCCTGGAGGAATTGAACCTTCACTAAATGGGATGGTAAAACATAAAGAAGGTTGCATTGCATTTTGGGATAAAGCAGATGTCATCAGTTTCAGCCAAGTAATTGACAGCATTACAAGTAAAGAAAGCAAAAAGACATTAAGGAAGGATACACGCTGTATATCTCATTATTGAGTAGTAATCATAAGACATAAAATCCCCTGATTACAGAACCTGTTTTTGAATAATGTGGATAGCTGAATATGAAAAGGAGAGACACTGAGGAACAAAAGCTGACAGAGTTATTGCTGGGAGAGGTGGAAAACTAGAATAGGATAGGAAACTATCCCTTCAGATGTTTTGGACCAAAATTTGGCAGCAGACTTAATCATGTGGGATCACAGACGTTACCATCCAAAAGCACCAGAAGAACCAAATCTACTCACACCTTTACAAAGCAAAATTTAAAAACTACATATATAGGAAACACCTAGATCCAGTGTAATATATTGGACTAAATCTAGAGACTACGTTTCAAACTCCATCTAACCATGAAATTCATTAAAGGATCTTGAGCTAGGCCAGCTCTCAGTCTAACCTGCATAACTGAAATGTATTGTTATTGTTCTTATAGGTCAACAAACTGCTTCTAACTTATGGTGACCTTAATAGTGGCTTTCCACTGCCACTCCAGTGAGCTTTCATAGCCAAGTAGAGATTTGAACCCACGTCTCCTTAGTCCAACACTACAGATGCTAAATCACAATGGCTCCCTACTACTATATTGTTAACCACTCTGCCTCTCTCCATTATTGGGATACAGCAGGCTATAACCTGAATTCAATAAATAAGAATTTGCAAGCATAGGAAAATTATAACTGTCAAGAGCAAGAGATCCAAACTTTATAATACTAACATACAGAAAAGAGTGCTTTGTACAAGTTAGAAAAATATAACATGTCCCAGTACTATATAAATTATTGGAAATGTTGCCAGATTTATAACTAATTATACACTAGCTCTGCTATAGTGTAAAACTGGTTAGATATACTCAACCACAAGTCCTCTTATAAACCACCAAGAAGAGAAAGCCACAGCTTTTAACCCACCATGTTCTATTTTAATCAAGAGTGGGGTTTAAATCCTGTATCATGAAAAGCCATATTATGAAAGTTTAATCAAATGCAAATATGACAAAACAATTAAGTTCGGCATCCAGCTTACCAATGCTATAAAAGCCTGCTCGAGCCAGCTTTTCCTTGCTAATCAGATAATTCCATGTTGCAAAGGTCTTAATGCGAGTTTCATAATCTGCCATAGATGGATTCTGAGGGAGACTGCCATTATGGATGCTACCTCTGTTAAGCTTAGCATCCCCAGACTGATTTGGAACAATTCCAATGTTTCCAACATCGTGACCAAGGACAAAAAAGCACCTCGGGAAATGGCGTCTATGTTCTGACCAAGCCTGATCACAAGGTTCCCAGTTTTTCAGTTTGCCTCCACAACAGAAGCATTCGACTTCATCATCAATTCCAGTATAATAGAGTCCAGCACTTGCTAACTCCTTTGGAGCAACAGGGGCATAGGGTGGCCAGTTGTGAAAAGTTCGCAGCCGGGCTTCTTCATTACACATAGCAGGATTTCTGGGGTACAGAGAACCTGAGAGATCCACCACTTGCCTGCTTCTCAACAGATAATCTGCATGAAGATCTGAGGAAATATCATGAGCCGGTTGGAGAGAATTAACTGCTAGGCAAGTTTCTCTTCTGCACTGATTACTGGGCAGAACAGAAAGCATACAATTCCTCCCCAAGTTAACATCATTAATAAATGTGCAGTCTGGAGAAACTGTTTTGTGTCTTCCAACTGCAGAGTCCCCTTGTTGCCATCCTTCTACAGTTGCATGACACCTAAAGCACTTTACTTTGTCTTGTTCTCCACTGTAGAAGAAACCAGCTTTGGCAAGAGCTAAGGAGGAAACCGGACAGTCGCTTGGAAAAGTGGCAAATGTTTGTAGTCTGGAGAATTCATCAGCCAGCTCTTGGTCAGGATCCTCTTCCAGAGTTGTACAAGCTCCAGAGTTATCTGGTCCATTACATGTCATCCCTCCTTCAGAGACAGGGTTTCTACAATGTTCCTACATAAGAACATAATTAAGTTCAGGAATCCAGAAGTACTGAAAACATAATATGTGCAAGAGTTCAACCCGTCATATACATTATCTATCTGCCTGTAATCTTTACAAGAAAACTTGTAAAATATGCCACCATATTGCAGCCAGGGAGGGGTCTGACGCTGAGTGTGCAGGTTAACTAAGGCAGTAAATGGTAAAACATAGATCCACTGGTAGTTCTCTTGGTGATTTGGAGTAGATCAAGGATTTCTGGCTCACAATTATTTAATAGCAACAACAGCAAAATAGTATGTGTGTGCATGTACACCTCTAGCCAATATGATGCTGAAGTGAAGAAAACTTTAGATCTTCGCATAGTGAGGCCCTTTTTGTCCTGATACTCAAAGCAAATTCTAAGCGGAAAACTCTCCAATTCCAGGCATATGATCAAGGTTTGTGAATATTAGATTTTTTTCTAAGAAGATGTCAAAGACGCGCAAAAGTCTGGCTGTCCTTTGCCTGTGGCAGGGATAGGGAAACTGTGGCTTTCTAAATGTTGCTAAGCTGCAACTCACATCATCCTTCATCATTAGTTATGCTGACTAGGACTGATGGAAACTGTGGACTAAAAACATTGAAAAGCTGCACCCAGTGACACCATGACAACTGCAGTATTTAACTGGGGGATTTTCTAACAAATAGATTAGTTTTAGAGACTATATTATAACAAAGCAAAATAAGTTTAAATAAGATTATATTATAGCAACTACTTCTAAATGACAAGCAGAATTTCACAGAACTAGAAATGCAAGTATACAGTATACCTCCCATTCAGAAATGGTTGAACAAATACTGGCTCATATTTTTACCAATCCTCATATATGCATAAACAGGAGTGAAAATTTGAGTGTGATATATTAAGATAGTCAGTGTGGCACAGGAATGTGCACACACACTACTAGAAAATCATAGTTTATCACTATACAGCAGCGATGTGGGACAGAAAACTTTCCAGTGCTTAGTTTAAAGTGAAAGTCTTCCTTCTCCTATACAACTTACTAGTAGCTATAAACTTATGTCAGTACAATAACATTCAATCCTATTGGTAACGGTTTCTGGGTGATTATTCCTACAAACTGTACACGGGACTAACATATATGTTTCACTGCACTGTAAATAGGGCAGTGTTTTAAAGAAAAATAAAACTTGCCAGTCCAAATCAAGTAGCAAATTCATCTTTTTGGCAGCGCAGCAGTTTGCTGAAAGTTTGTTTTGCTTTCAACAAACCCAAAACCCCTGAATCGTTTTTCACCCCCTCTTGATCATGGGAAGCTGAAAAGAATTTTGTTGCACAAAGATCTATTAAGTATCCTTGGGGACTCTTGACACTAAAATACATCTTAATAGGAAACCCCAGCCAGAGTCTCTCTAAAGCAGGAATCAACCTGATGATGATGCATAATGATTGTTCTTAAAATTCTTCAGGCGGGCGGTAGGGAAACCTTATTCCCCATGGTGGGCTGGAATGTACCGGGTGATTTTGCCAAACAGGACACATTAAAAAGGAAGGCCAGGGTTCCTCCCTCCCTCTTCGGTCGTGTTGTTTGTTCCCTTCTGCTTTTCTCCACCGCGGAGCCACAATCCCCTCAAGCTGTGCTCGACCTCGACCCTCCTAATGCAACCGGAATTCGGAGGATGCTGCTTTCGCACCCCGGGCAGCAGCGCAAGACCGCCCGCCCGGGCGCCCTTCGCTCTCCCTGCCCTCCCTCTCTCCTCCTCCGCCGCCGCCCACCCCCGAAGG